CGTAATTACACAAGAAAATACTGTGGAATTGAACTCAGGACTTCCACGGACCTCTAGATCTCGAGCCAGAGCTAAAAGAATGTTACTGAATCTTTTTTCCAATTCTTTATAGAGTCCTCTTCTCCACTATTAACTCACCTAAACGTCTATTCTCATTTTCCCTGTCCTCTAGTTGATTCATCATGTCATCCAGTTTATTCTCCAGTTTCTCCACCTCTTCTCTCAGGTCATATATCTCAGGATCTGTCGCCACACTACTGGCTGACTTTGGTCTGTTTAACGCTTCTTCCAGCTGTTTGTCCGCACGCTCCTGTGCGTCTCGCATCTGCATCTTCATCATCTCTATGATGGAGTCTTGTTGTTGTTGCGCTTTCTTCTTTACTGCATCGTCATCTTGGACTTTCTTGAGCTTTTCGGAAAACATTGCTTTGTCTTGCTTGCTCTTCTTTGCGTAGTATTTCTGTAGAGATGGAAAGAATGTAAAGTCGTAAGAAAATCATCATAGCCATCATGGCGGTTTGGTTGAGACCCAGGTGAGTTGAGACCCGGGTGAGTTGAGACCCGGGCGAGTTGAGACTCGGGTGATCTCAACACTCATTTCAATCGTGTTTAAAACAAAAAAATCCACCAAACATTTTTTTAAGTATCAATGTACAGTAAAGCATCAACGGTTTTATAACATCAATCAGGCCTCTTCATTCTAGCTACTATCAAAGCAATTTCTCTCTTTTGAAAACGTGTGCACTGTCATATAACATCACCACGGGTCAGGAGTGTGGTGCAAAAGTTTACTTAACTTAAGGTCACTTAACTTAAGGGCTCAATAATGCCTATTCAAACTCTGTCACATTATTCTTGAGAGAATGATGACAAAATATCCTTTTAATTGTCTCCTATTTTCTACACAATAATGTAAAGCCCCACTGGACATTTGAGTCTGGCAGTATGTATATTATCGGTTTAGAAATGTTCCATGCATATAAAAAAGTAAAAATGTTACCTTAAAACCTCCCTCTCCCTCCTGCATTTTTTTACACATATACCCATGGTGGAGAGATGCAAAGAGTTTTACTATAGAGTACACAAGAACAGCTGCCTGTGTAAGGTACACTAATGCACAAGTCATGTGTATACATGCACATTAACATGTGCGTTCATTTAGTTCTATTTGTGTCTATGTACCTGATGTTGATTGGCAATCTGGGTGATAGCATCAGCAAGCTGCTGGCGATAACTTCTTCTAATCACAGCAACCCGCTGAAACATGAAAGATAGACTTGCTTGAAACATGAACTTCTGTTTGACAGAGACACAAACTGGTAACTTAAGTTATCCCAAGGCATCGAAAAAATCGTTTATAGAACCTCGTAACAGAAAACAAGAAAAGGATTGTAAACACTATTGATGCCACTAACCTCCTCGTGTTGTTTTTCCAACTCTAGGATTCTGTCATTAACTCTGCAATATCTGTTAAGCAAAAAGATCCAGTGTCAGTCACTGTGAAATACAGTACAGTAACCTGGCCTAATATTTTAATTCACTGCAGCCATAAATAATCTTTTCAAAAAGTTCTGACAAGGTTATTGATACCAGTCTGACCTAAAAAATTCAATGCGAGAACACAACCAAACAAAAAATACATAAAGGTCAGTCAGTCCAATTTTACGACAATGCTTGGAATTGAGAACTTGTGTAAGGTTCAATCTCCACTATAGCAAGAGATTTTTCATTTTGTTTTTGTTTTGCATCAATTTGTTGTGATATCTCAGTAAGAATTTAAAAAAAGGTTTAAGCCATTCCAGGGCTGTGATTATGTTTTGAGTCACCTGCAGCCTTGAATTTCACACCCATAACAAACTTGCTACTTTGTGGGTGAATTGTATCAACTACAGGCAAATCAAGAGGCAAATCATTCATGGCATCAAGAGCCATGGATGATTCCGTTATTATTCGATTTAGCGCCCTCCTCTCAATAAGATCCCCCCTTTCGAAAAAAGTGCCCTCCTTTGAATGTGTTTTCATTAATAAACGCCCCTATTCCAATAAGCAGCCCTGTTATAATACATCGCAGGGCTGTCAGAGTACATATCAACTGGGGTTCATCTTCCTTAATTGCTCACAAACATAATGTTGCATTACAAAAACAGTGGTCTTCATCTGAGTTTCTCCCCTATTATGTCCATGTGAATGCATACATTTAATTCCTTCACAGGAATGATCTCTTCTTCAAATTTTGAGGTGATTACTCGGCTGGTTCTCTGAGTGCACTGTCTCAAATAAGCACCCTGCCTCGAATAAGTGCCCTCCCTTGAGGTATCAAAAGTACCATAAATAAGTGTCCTAGGTGTTAAATCAAATCATTGCGGTACCCAGTTGTAACAGGTGTTAAAGATAACAATCCTTTTTTGTGCAAGTCCCGCATTCATGCAATATTTTACCCATATCTGAGATGGGACTGACTAAGGCATCAGTACAAACACATGTATCTACTTTCAAAAATATTCAGTCTAAAGACTAATGCTGTAGAAAATCCACAGAGAGGCTGATGTTAGAAAAAAAGGACATCATTTAAACATGCTCCTGGAAAAGTACTGAAATTATAATGATAAATTTCATGTACGTTCTAACCACGTGGTACTGTATAATACAGTTAATAGAATGTATTTATAACAAAATTATCAATTGTGATTGGATCTCTGCATTACTAAATTTTGTCACATCATAGGCGTGCAATCACATGGGTGTTTAACTACACAGTGACCGATCCAGACCATCAGATAAGGGGGGGGGGTGGGGGGGG